GTCTTGCTCATTTAATCTGATATTTAGGCTTAAATTATTATTAAATTTAATTATTTAAAAAATTGAAGCTTGAATTTAGCACCCATAAAGAATTTCTTCTAGGTGGGTTTTAATAGCTTAAATGCACTCAGGTGGTCGTTTCGTAAATCCGCCACTTCAAGGGTGGCTTGGGAACCGTGCAATTGGTTTAAAATTTCTACCACTAGTATTTCCCGGTTATTTGGTTCTAACAGAACCTAAAACCGGAGCGGCATAATTTTTTTTTAATTTTAATCATATTTTTATCATACTTTACATTTTCGATCCATTTTTCGACATTTTGACGTCAAATTACTAAAAAGTAGCCCAACCAAAATTTCTGCCACTATATTTCCGTCGATGTACACATCGAAAAGAAAATATTCTGGTTAGGGTTCACCTTTTTTTTTTTGTTTCATTAACTCACGCACGAAAAAATGACCCATGAATCTTTTCTGCCGCTGTTTTTCCCGGAATATGTGGAGTATTTTAAGTAAATTATACCGTCAAAACCAAGCAGTTAGGCGAACATTTTTTTTTTTTCGACAAGAAAAACTTCTCTAAATTACTTAAAAAGTTGATATACCAAGCGGCAGAAGGTTGAGGCGACAGTTTTTTGCTCATTATCTCCGTGAGTATATGATGAATCTCGCGAGCCGGAAAATGTTCAAGGCGGGCCACGAATTAACTACCCCTGGTCTAGATGATAGTGAGAATCAAGCTTTATGCGAAGTTTTCATTTAGCGATGCAGAAATTATCAATAGTATTTTATTGAAATAACTATAGGAACCTTGCTGATCGTTGTAAAGTTCTATTATTATGTACATTTGGGAAATTAAATTTTACAAAAAGTTTACGTTAGATTCCTGACCGTTACTTTTAAATTACGTAGTTTCTTACTACTGCAGTTCAACAGGAAAGAATTAAGTTAATATCTGTGTACAAGCAGTAACACTTCAAAAGTCTGAAGATGGTTGAATAAACCGAAACGTTACAAAAAACATAAAGTTGTTTGATTATTTGACCGCCACCCTGGAAAAAACTACATAATTCTACAAAAAATTCGAGAGTAAAATTTAAGAACTCTATCTTTATCGAAAAGTACACCTTAAAAATCAAAAATAAAGGAAAAATATAATTAAACGACTGTTTTTAAAGGTGCGGATTGTGTACCAAAAGGGCCCAACAATACACAGTTGCAACATCCGTTCAAACGCAAAACAATACACATCCCATTCCTCTGTTAAGTAAATCGTCGAATGGTCATCATTTTAACAAGTCGGAAAGTCACATTCAAGATGATCTCGTTTAATCATTAGCTAGGTAGTCCTTAAGGCGAAACTGTGACAAAACGGTTAGTGTAAGTACTAATAGTATTAGTATATTTTTTATTATTTTTTTATTTATTAAACTTAAAATTTTACCAATACTTGTATCGACGATGACTGATATAGTGATATTTAATATAATAATAATGATAATGATCATGTACTTTAAATATATGTGCTAGAATATAATATTNTCTACAAACGTGAAAAGCACTTTTAAGAGAAACTTTACGTAGTTATCGTTTTCTTCACTTTAATGCTCAAAGATCTTTGAGTGGAAATGATAATTTTAAGGAGTCTACCTAAAAGTTATGAAGAATTTCCGAAATGCGGCACATATTTTGGTATGCTTAATGCAGAAAAATGAATGGAAAAATTTTAATTTTATTAGGAAATTCAAAATACGGTACCTGTATAATCTCTATGTAATACTTAATACACTTTCTTTGCATATAAAAAAACAATAAAATTCTATCGCAATTTTTTTTTCTGTTAAAATGCGGCATATTGTTTTGTTAAAGAGAACAGCTTTTTCGTTATAGAGAATTCCCGTTTATAAAAGATAATTCATTTTGCATTTTCATTCCTGTAAATGTTTCCTTAATATTAATAAAAAGGAGTAGTTTTGAGGTACATCGGTAAAGTAAAATTTGTGTGATGTAACATATGGGTGTTCCCTAATACTTTATACTTTGTATTATATAGTAACTGTAACGTTAAAAAAAGCACACTTCGTTTTGTATATATAGAAATGTTGTAAATATAATTTGATATTAATAAATTAATGTGATAATTACTTTTACTTTGACTCTTGACAAATTATCCGAAATTGAAACTGAAATGTTTTATGAAGGGATATAGTAGAACAAAAACAACTACGAAACAGTTACATTTTGTTAACTTTACCATTGAAATAAAAATATCTAATTTAATTGGAAAACAAAAAATATTACCTCTGAATTATTGTGCTAGGTATACAGGAGGATTAATCTAAATCAGGGTTGTCCAACTCAAATAATGATGAGCAAAGCAAGATCAAGCCAAGACTGTCCTAGTTTCGCTTTTGACTTGGTCTTGCTCATTTAATCTGATATTTAGGCTTTTTTTAATAATTGTTCTAAGCAAAAATTTTTCTATTTACCGACACAATAACTGTCTTAAATTCCAAAATTTTCTGTCGTACATGCGTGTTTGCCATGACTTTTAAAGAAAATAGCGTCGATAGTTGTGAGAGTGTACCCTTCTTCTTCCAAAGCATAAATTGACCCTCCCTCCAACGTATAAATTGATCTTTTAGCGAACAAAATAGTACAAGCTACTTGAAAGAAGTAATATACATTTTGAAAAAAAATGTAGTTTGTCTATATTTCAACCACATCTAGACATAGGAGCAAAAAACACTTAGGTACTCCGTGGACATTCCTTTTTTCAAACAGTTTGTTTTTATATTTATTGTTAGAATCTAGTAAAGCAAACTGCAGACATTTTTTTGAACTAACTGTGAACTTATTAATAAAATATATATATTCACAAGAATATTGCTGTCGGCTGTGGCGGTATCCTACCTTCGAATGAAACGAACCGTATTCTCCTTAATTAATGTTTTTTATTTACACTATATTAACACTAACGAGCAACATTATTTGTATTAATAAATTAGATATTCTATTTGGTTGTTTGTACATACAAGAAATGTTTTTGAAGTGAATCTTCTTTACGCACGGTAGGGTAAGTTCGTTTCATGCGAGTTGCTATGTAACGAAATCATGCAACGGATGTCCCCCCTATACTCGGCCACGTAGTCGAGTTCGTAGTGGGGATCGCTTGAGCCGTGAGCGCGCTTCAATGCAACGTTCGTTACAGGCAACTCCGGCACGTATAATGTAAAATTTAAATTCATAGTGTACAAATAATACCATTAAACCAATTCCTTAACCCCTATCCCGGTATGTTT